TTGCAGAGTGTAAGAAAGAGAAGAGAGGCGTCACTCACCAATCAACTTAAGTGTCAAGACACAATGTGGCATTGTCCACTTGATGTCATAATGCTCTGTGGCTGTGAAGTAATATCCAGCCATAAGGTATGTCTGAAAGAAACCATTGTTTGGGTTATTCAAACTAATTCCTCCAGCTGGTTTTGATCTGCCTCCACTTTTCCACCCACAGTTGCTACTGAAGTGCTAAACGGAGCAGAGGCCTCCCTTCTACAAACCCAGGGACTAAAAAAAGAGGGTTTACCATCTGAAAGAGAAAGGTGGTGATGACGGCAGTGATTGTGCGACCCATTAGTCTCAGGATCAGGAACTGGATTAGGACACATATCAGGGAGTGAAAAAACTGCGTCCCTGTGGGCAGGAAAAAGAAAGAGAGAGATAAGAAATAGAAATTAGATGTATAGGTGCTCCCTCCCAAATTGCAGCATGCCCTGGGCCAGGCAGCTCTCTCTTCCCAACCTCAGCTTACCAAAATTGAAGTAAGCAATTGAGAGTCCTGTGAACACATTGTAGAGGTGAACGAGGTAGGTCTCCTTCTGGAAGAGGAAGTAGCGCTGGAACAAGGCAAAAGGATATCCTGAGAGAAAAAAAATAAAAGGAAGAGTTGTAAATAAGCTTAGACAAGTATTTGTCATGAACCAAACTACAGCTTTTCTGAACATGTACTTTGCATCACACATTATCAACACAGGGCATAGCGTTAATTCCTGATACTGCATTTGCATCTTGGGAGACAGACTCCAGATGAATTACTCTGTACAGAAGAAAATACTTTAACGGGAACATAATTATAGCAAAACTGACATTGAAGTGCAAAAAATTACAGGATTACATTTTCTGGCCTCATTCAATATATGAGATGGATAATGCTTAAATACATGAATCACACTTTAGCCTGTGATTCATTTCCAAATTATGTGACAAACACAATGAACATGGCAAGAAGCTAGATTAAAAAAAAAAAAAAAAAAGGGAGGGGGAAGAGAAAAACTTTATGGTTAATACCATTACAATGTCCAAAAAACCTCAGTCCTACTCCCACCTCAATGAGTTCTTTCAGCTTTAATTTCAGATCTCCTCAGGTGACCTCCAGTAAGATACTCTCGGTTTTCTAACTCTGCAACTTTGGATTTGCATCTGATTTGTGAACTACTGGGTACACAAAGCTGTAACTAAAATCCACTGGTACTATGCATGTGGTATTTTTGGAAAAAAAAAATCAGTCAGAAGCATTTCATATGGAGCAGCTAAGAAAAGTGGAAGGGTTTTTTCCCTTGCATTTTCTGTGAGGTAACTCCTAGTCTAAGTTCGGAATGCCTCCAGATTATTCATCTGTGGCTCGAGTGAGAAGTAAATATTTGTGAAGCACTCTGGTAGTACAGTGAGAAGCGTCACACAGAACACCACAATTCAATTAAATTCTGTTGTCTAGGTGAGTTTCATGAAGCATGCAATAAGCACTGCCACATAGCAGACAGTAAATATAATAAGTCTTAATGCACAGTGGCACAGGAAGTGTTGCAATTCCCTTTTCTAAAGGCATGTGCAGAAGGCACTGAACTGGGATACAAGAAGCCACTTTAATTCTGGCATCTTGTAACTTTATTGCTCTGCTTTGCAGGCGTGTCCTCTTATGCTGCTAAGAAAAAGGGGAAATTCATCACATCCCACAATACTGGCATCCACACTACTCATCATCCTGGCTGAGATCAGGAGCAGTGGATGGAGCTCTGCTACCTGCACTAATGGAGCAGCAGTAGCAGGAGGTGGTCATGTTTTATAGGGAGCAGTAATAAAAGGTGATGAAATGCACATTCTGCCGAGAAGTGTATGATGGATGGAAGGCTTCCAACAAGCAAGGCCAAGTCTAGTCACTACTGTGAGAGGAAATGAGAAACTCTGTCATGTTATTTAAGTACATGTCTGGCAGTGCTCACAGGCTGGAGCCATTTTAAGGCCCTCTCCAACCCCACAAAACCCTTGGGAGGGAGCCCTGCAGTTGGGGACTTTGGGGCTCTTTTCTAGATCCTTTTGTGCTCATGTTCTGCTGCGTCCAGGTGTGTACCTGCCGCCTCCTGAAACCGAGCTGCTGCTCCCCATTTCCTCAGCCTCCTGCCACCCCTCTTTTGGTTTTCCCTGCCTCCTTGTTGCTGTTCCTTCCTCCTTTTGTGTCCCACGCCGGTTTCCACGCCACAGGCTGCTTTCTGGCCAGCCCCACATACCACGGCTCTCTGCTCCCAGAGCCTGGCAACCTCCCTCCTGCACATCCAGCCTGCTCTCCCTTCCAAAGCAGCAGCTCCAAACTCCCCTACAAAATGCCTTACCCTGACCATCCCTCTCCCTTCCTGCTCTTCCATGCTTTTTACACAGCCCACTTCTGTCCCGTTCCACCCCCACTGCTGGCCTGAACACTAGCTGAGGGGGAAAGAGGGAATTGGCAAAGAGAGTTCATCACACGGGCTCTCTGGGGATACAGGAGTAACTCAAAGAATTAGAGCAATTCACATGATTTAGGAAAAAAAAAAGAAAAAAAGTAGTATTTTCTACTGGCCTTTTACTCAGAAACATACAAATGGGGATTCTTTGTTCATGAGCCAATCTTCCTGCTGAAGTTTAAAAAAACATAGGAAGAATTGGCTTTGAGAAATGGAAAGTGGTAAAAAATATGAAGTTTTATTAGATCAAAAGTTTAAAAGCTGAGGTTTAGTGTGGAAAAATGTTTCCCCCTTCTGAGCAAAGGGGAGAAAAAATCAGAAATACAGGCAAAGCACAATTGACTGCTGTTCATCAATATGCATGGTTTAAAACCTTCCTTTTAAAGAGTCTCCCACTCTCTTAAAAACCACTAATATTTTGTAAACCAGTCAATTTCTACCATTTTTTTCCCTCTAGCCATTTCTATAGACATAATTAAAGTATGACTGAATACTATAATGTAACTAGTGTTCCTACTCTTTCTGAGACCTGTCTCATTTGTCAGCTGTGCTCCTTTTTAGTTCTAACCAGGAGATCATGTCATGGTTTGGGTAATGCTGCTCTGAAGGAAAAAGAATGATGAACCCTTGCAAATAGAGAGTTACTAATAATACACACTGCATCCATGGTTTTAGAAACTATAAACTTTAACCCTGGTCTTGCACTACGTGGCTGCTGTTCCAGTCCAAAGTCTCAACATCAGCCTAAATTCTTCTGATATGTAGAGTAACTTGTCAGTACTCTGGACTGCAGTTTACCTACAGTTTTGTTGCATGGGATAATTTTCTCAGTTTTACAACTGGGCCAGTTGCATGCTGCTGATACAAACTTTAACCTCCAAACAGCAGTGGGTAGCAATGGTCATCCTGATGTAGCTCGTGCCCTTCTGAACACTGATAAACTATCTGTTAAACAACAAACAATTCCTGCTGATAACAACACCAGTACTCCTGCCCTACTACCACGTCCCTGAAGCAGCCTGAATTAGCAGAGCAGCTTTTGGAGCTGTGGTTGCCTTCTGACAAGCTGGATGGCACCTTTGGATATGCCAGCAGCAGGAAACGCTGCGCTGCTTTGCTTCTGCCATTCAGAGCAACAGGACAAGAGTCCCTGCTCCCTGCTGCCAGGAGGCTCTGCCCAGCAGCTCCCACTCTGCCAAACTCCCCTTTCACGGCTCCCTAAGCAGAGTGGATGAAGCAGAGTGGGAAAGTGGCTGTAAAACTCCTGGAGAAAACAGCAGGGAACCTCTGATCCAAACTCATTCTTCCCTATGCACCACAGAGCTGAAAAACAGCCTGCACACAGCACTGGGTTTTCCCTCTAGACACACACTTTCTATAGAATGGAATTAGCAACTGAGATTATTTTTATTGTTTTACTTGACAGGAAGAAGAGGATGATCTCTGGTTAAGAGAACCATGGAGACAGAAGGAAAGGACAAGCTCAGCTTCTTGGCCATGGCCATTTGGGAGAGCAATGGGCCATTGCACAAAGCCCAGCTTGTCCACAAAAGCAAGAATCTAATTGAGCAAAAGAAGTTAAATCATCAAGAAGGTGGATTAGGCAGGAGAAAAGTTCCACTAATCTCAAGCAAAAATAGTGCTGTCAAGTTTGCCATCTTCTGGACTGGGTGATTAAGATGCTTCTCTTTTTCCAGAGATAAAGCTGCAAATAAGAACAGCAGAAAGATTCTTTTCATCTCTGCTCCCTTTATTTCCCCTTTGATATGCTCTATCTCATCTTCAAGCTTTCCTCTTCTCCCTTTTTTGCTGAACATTTAACTCCTCCTTTGTTAACATCCAACAAGGCAATTGTCTCCATTTTTTTATAAGAATGCTAAAACTAAAAGGAATGGGACAACAGGGAAAAAAAGTGTTGAAATATCAGTCTTACCTAATATTTTAACTCCAAAGCTATTCCTTTCTGTTTCTAACACTGCAGAAGTGCCACACCTTATTAAACACTAGGTGCATAAACATGAGTATTTTAATTCAGCTCAGGAGTTTACCTTGAAAGTCCACTTCTGGTGCTTTAGTTTGCATAACAAAACATGTCTCAAAGCATGTGAACAGGGCTCTCTTCACACGAACTGAACTGAAAACACACTGTGACAGGGCTGGTTTTATGGGAGGACATTGCTGCCTCTTAAAACTTTTCCCATCCTTTACCCATCAGAATCAGTTGCTCACAGGGCCTTGCAGAAAGGTTCCTGCTTGGCTGAGCAGCTGGGAATTTGATTTGGGATAAGTCAGCAGCTTTGGGTGGCCACAAGAATTTGACTGAGCCTAAAAACCTTCAGGATGCAGGGAGCATGAAGCAGAGTATGTAAAAAAAATGATGAGAGGTAGAAGAGGGAGAGAGAAGACAACTTGCAAGTGAAGCAGCAGGTTTCTGGCACCCATTGGGTAAGAATGTGTTACTTTCTGCAGGTCCCTGCTATGTCCATGGAATGAAAGAACACTTTCCCAGTGCTTTTCCTGGCAGGTCTGGGCAAACCAGCAGGGTCATTTTTGGCTCAGGGCTGTAAACAGCATGTTGGCTCCCCTCCATATTATGCAGGTAGCTCACAAGGCACTGTGTAATATTATGTTAAGATAAATAGCTTTAATTCTTTGGGATTGTACAGCCATGCAAGAAACATAAGCAACATAAAGTATTAAATACGCAGTGCCATAAGGCCTCCTGCACCCTGGCTTTTGCTTTGAGCAGTGCCAGCAGGAGAGAAATGTGTCCCCTCTCATGGGAGGACAGGAGCAGCAGCACAGAAACCCTGTTATCTCCTTCACACCACTGGAGCAGCTCCAGTGGGAACACTGGGACCTACTGAAGAGTGCAAGCTGGAGTTCATCTCTCAAAGACATTCTCGCACGATTGACAGATACAAGTGTACTGATATATCACTATTTTTATTGTGGCAGGGTCCAGAATTGTGCTTCAGGTATTCCTGCTGCTGGTACTGCTGCCAAATTGCAGATTACTTTCTTCAAAGGTTGTCTATGCAAATTTTTACGTGGGGGAAGTCTGCGGTAAGTTCTTCATCTTGTACAATCCAGGTAAGGGACTCTATTCTAGCTGTAGTCTCTACTTCAAAATTGCAGCATGCATAAACCTGTCTCTGATTTAAATACAAAACTGTGACTAAAATCCCCATAATTTGCTCAGTAATGTGCTGTTACTTGTTCACTGAAACAATGTGGTGCTCTTTAGGACTACTCTAGTTTTCATTTAGTTCTTGAATGTTTTTTCTCCTTCTCTTGTTCCCTCCTGTATTTAATTTTTTTTTTCAGTCATGTCAGAATGCCAACAGCTTTAAATGACCCCTCTTTGTTATTTCAGATCATTATTAAACAAACACTTATCCTGAATCAAGAGACTAAATTCAGACTATTTTTTCAACAATAATTCAGCTTTCTTCAGAAATCAATGTAAGAAGTTGAAAAGTCCTTTGTGATTCTTCCTCTTTTTCAGAAGACTATTTTTACCCATTTGTGGTGATCCTCTGAAAGTGAAACCCTAGAAACTGTTGTCACAGTAAAACTGCACAGTGTAGATGGGAAACTGCATCACAGAGGAAGAAATAGGCAACGACTTTTTAGTCCATCTTTGGAACTATGCTTCACCGTCATGGCCTTGTCCTGAAATAATTCAGCAGGATTAACTGCAGCCAACAAAAATAGTTTTCTTCCTGAATCTTTGTAAACACCTGAAATGGAGGAAGCGACGGAAAAGCCATACTTAACGTCCTAATGCCACTTCCAGCTTCTAGAAATGCCTTTCATTTATACCCCATGCCATCCTCTGAAGTGGTCATCAGCACTAGCTGCATTACCAGTGAGATTAAAAGGATTGTAAACTAAGCTGCAATTAAATGAACATTTCTTTGTGCGGGGCTAAGGAACTCCTCTCACTCTCCTCTCATGTTGCTCCGGAGTGGTGTTTGGCCCTTCCTTTTAAAGTCATGGTACAGGTATAATGCTTTCCCACCCAGTGCTCACCCATCCATTAAGCAGGAGAGCTGGAGTCAGTCCCCTCTGCCTGAGTGGTTCAACCTACATGACCTGCAGGAGTGCCAAACTGCAGGCAAGGCTGTTTTGCATGCCCTGAAGCCCTCTGTCTGAAGTTATGCCTGCCACTGCATCTAATTAAAAGATACTGAGCTAGGGAGGAAGGACAGGGGAAAGTGCAGCTCCAGCCTCCTGCTTTGGTTTATCCATTTGAGGCATGCAGGGCAGAGATGTGAGCGGTCCTCTGGACCCTGCTTCCCAGAATTTTAATACAAATTCTAAAGATCCACTGAGGCTATGTAAAACAGATAGTGGTCTACCTTGGGAAGGGACACTGTGGCATCCCAGTGGCTCACTGTCGACACTGCACACGGAACATTTGTAACAGCACACAGGAGTCTCACGCTTCCTTAATCTGCTGACTGCAGCAGGCAGCTCTTATCATCATCAGGACAGTAATTATCTGCTGTTCATTTCAAAGAACTGGTGCTGCACACCCACAAGACGCTGAGCAGGAAACACCCTCCCAAATGTTGTGTCCCCAGCTTACTGCTAGCAAGAAGCAACTCGGAGAGTACGGTGGTGGTGCATTCTGCAGAGCCACCTCTGCTGCTGTGGCTGCCTCCACACACACTTTCTAGGACCTTTTCTGCATCAGCACTCGTTAGACTGGTCCCTTGGTTGATCCGGGTGACTAACCTCACAGTGAGCTATCTGCCTTTTCTGGTTTAGGTTTCTGCCAAACACGTAAATTCAATCAGAGCGCAATTAAAGGACCAGAGAGAGACGTGGGAGAAAGGAAAGCAGGACTTTTCTCGTTTGAAGGTGGGGAGCTGCTAGACTAATTAACGCTGACTTGTGTGCATGTCCTGTGTGTTTCCTAATTCTTCATTTTTTCTTGGTAGAAGTTTGGTTTAAAAAACTTCTACGTTGAGTTCTAGACGATAACCAGTTTGGTCTCCTGTATCGACCCTTCATGGGAAGAATGTTTGGGTCAGTTTGATCTCACACATCATAAACTAAATCAGGCAGAAATAAGTCTGGTGCAGACCATGGTTATGAAGTGACACAGTTTTTCTTGCTTGCATTTCCTTTAAAAATATTGCACTTCTAGTTAGCCAAAGCAACTTTATTGTGACAAATTACACAGTCGTGGCTGTATCACTTCGAATACACTTTCAGGTTCAGAGGAAAGCTTGTATTTCTTTCCTGCTAGGTGACTACACCACCAAATGCTTTCACAACCCAAAGTTTCCCTGAGCATCTGCAGAGATTTACACAGATAGCATGTATACACACACTTGAATTAATGTTTTGGGAGCTACAACCTCCCCCTCAATCGCCAGCCCACATCACAACTCCAGCCCTGCCTTAACCATTTCGCACGGAACTCAAGCATCTCGTGTTTGCATAAGCGCAGGCACCCTGTGTTTTGCAACACGCTTCGCGCTGCAGGTGGAGCGCAGGACATCACCCCAGTTCTCCTGGCACGGAGCTGGAAGGTTTTGCCAGCCTGCCCGGTAGTGCCCCGGTGACACGCCTCTCCCTCACGGTGCCACCACCGCCGCACACACGGGTGATGTCCCCGGACAGCGATGTCCCTGCACTCGGACAGGGCAGCACTGATGGGCAGCGGAGAGCCCGGAGCGGACAGCCCTACGGACACCCGCGCACGGGGCACGGGATGCACACGCACCACCGGCCACTCACGGGACAATCCCAAACAAAGTTCCTGCGCCCGGGACACGGACCCAAATCGGGGTCTCTCGCAGGCTCCTCCTCGCCCCGCGTCCACAGGCGGCCTGCCAGGACCGCACCCCGACCTCCCGCGGGGAAACCCAGCGGGGTCCCTGCGCGCCGGGCGGGCGGGGCGGCCGCAGCGGGGGCACTTCGCGGGCTGCCGGCCGGGACGGGCGGTGCCGATGCCCGCGGCATCCCGCCCGCCGGCTCGGCGCGCACACGTGGCCTGGTGCGGCGGCGCTGGCACAGGTGCGGCTCCGTGCGGGCGAAGCGATGCCCGGTCCCGGCCCCCGCGCAGCACGGCACGGCGGCGGCGGCGGGGTCGCCCCTTCCCCCGGCGGGCGCGGAGCCCCGCCCGGAGCGCCAGCCCCGTCTCCCCCCGCCTTGCCTTACCCATGAGGATGGAGAGGATGAGGCGCAGCGCCTGCTCCGAGGAGCCCAGGGCCTCGGCCAGCCCCGCCAGGCTCCAGCCGGACCCCGCCACCGCCATCTTCGCCACCGGCCGCCCCGCCGGCCGGTCGCGCCCCGAACCCGGCAGCGGCACCAGCCACCGCGGCCCCCGCACCGCGCGCGGCCCCCTGCGCGCCCATTGGCTGCGGCGCGCCCGGCCCCGCCCCGCCGCGCCTGCCATTGGGCAGCGGTGGCAGCGGGGCAGGGCCCTGCGCGCACTAAGGCAAAGGTTACCCGCGAGTGGGCGGCGACGCGAGCTGGCCTCGTCGGCCAATGATTGGGGGAACGGCGGCCGGGGGCGGGGCCGGAGGCCCGGCGGGGCGGGGCCGGGAGGGCGGGGCGGGGCGCGGCTCCCGATTGGCTGCGGCGGGACAGGAGAGCGGCGGGGCGGGTCGGGGGTTATTCGCGGACACGAGGCGCGCGCGAGGAGGGCGGGAGCGGCAGCGGCAGCGGCGCGTGGGCCGCGCGCGGGGCCCTCAGCCAGGGTCTGGGTCCGGGTCCGTGCCTGGGCCCGAGTCCGTGCCTGGGCCCGAGCCTAACTCTGGGTCCTGGTGTAAGCCCAAGCCCGGCTCTGGGTCTGGGTGTAAGCTGAGCTTAGCTCTGGGTCTGGGTGTGAGCCCGAGACCAGCTCTGGATCTGGGTGTGAGTCCGAGCCTGGCTCTGAGTCTGGGTATAAACCTGAGCCTAACTCTGAGTCTAGCTCTGCTGCATGGCTCTGGCTCCTGAGTACTGGCTGTGGCTTTGGCCCCGACCTCAGTCGTGGCCTTGGCCACAGCCCCGTCCCTGTCCTTGGCCTCAGCCTCTGCCTCAGCTTCATCTTCAGCGCTGCTGAAGCTCCCCGGCCCTGCCAGGTCCCGCTGCCCCAGGGGCTCCCACAGGACACATCCCCGCTCCTTGGCTCCCGTGGCCCAGCAGGATCTGCTTCCCTCACGGGCATTATGGCAGCAGCCGTGCTGTGCCCTGCGTCTCTGTGTGCCACAGCAGCAGGCATGGTGTCAGTGGTGGTCAGCGGCCATGAACTAAACCACAAAAAGTTCCACCTCCATGATGGAGAACTTCTTTACACTGATGGTGGCAGAGTGCTGAACGTGCTGCCCAGGGAGGTTGTGGAGTCTCCCTTTCTGGAGACCTTCAAAGCCTGCATGGATGCATTCCTGTGTCAAGTGCTCTAAGTGACCCTGACTGAGGTTCCTCCCAGCCCTAGCAATTCTGGGATTCTGTGACTTTCTGGTCACTCAGCAGCTGGGCCCACACAGACTCCCCATAACTCAGCTGCTGGATGGCCTTTTCTGAGGTGTGTCCCCTCATGCAGCTGCCCGTGTGTGCACCCCAAGTTCTCCCCAGCTGAAGTTTCAGGTGCAATGGATGTGATCCTCTTCCCTTGCTTGTGCTCCCATTTTCCTGCTGGGTCACTTGGGTGTACAAATTCAGCTGAGGGGCAAACACAGGCTCACACAAAGGTTCGCATGAAAAGAGATCTCTGGAGTTCTCTGATCCAAACTGCAGCTCGCAAGCAGGACTCAAGGCTGGAGCCATTTGCTCAGGGCAGTGCCTGGGTAATTGCTGTACATTTTCATGGTTGGAAAGCTCCCAGCCTTTCTGGGCTCCTGAACCAATGCTGAATCATCCTCTTTATCCTGGTCCATTCTCCTTATCACCACCCTTTAGGTAGCAGCCCCAGCACCTGCTAGATGCCATTTCTTATCAAATCTGGCTGGGAAAGGGACTGACTGGCAGCACGGCCACATAGACCTCATTTACTCAGGAGACCAGGATAAAGACCTTGTCTCTCCTTGCCCTTCTCTTTTCCAGGCTAACCAAATCCAGGTTTCTGAATACCGAAGTTCTAGTCACCTATCCACTGGGCTCTTTCCATTTGGTTCACACCTCTCTTGCACTGGGGACTGAGGAACTGTATGAAGAAGGGGAGAGCCTGGCCTTCTCCTCCAGAAGTCCCCTGAAGGCAGAGTAAGGTGCAGAGTAGCAGTACAAGATGAATAGCAAGGGTTTAAAAACCCTCCTGGGTAGCTGACTCCATCAGGTTAGACTCTACAAACAGGTTGCTGTATTTGTCCACCCTAACTAGTGGACAAATTTGCCAAATTTTTTGCAAAGCCTGAGGACTGGCTTGTCAAGGCATGTCTGTCTCTCACTTCCACACTCAGTTTTGTGTTTACGGTGTTTAGGCCACTTTCCCAAGTAAATCAGTTCTATGTGAGTGTGACAGCTGTCTGACCCTGCTAAAGGCACGTTTGACAAGAAATGATCTGCCTAGTCCTGTAATTTACTGTTGTCAGAGAAGAGTTTCAGAAGCAGCATCTGTTCCTGAGGTTGCCCAACAATTTCCATTGCAAGATTGTTTCCAGTTGCCTGAAATGTTGCTATATTTGACCTGTTTAGATTAAATGCTTGATAGTCACTTGGAGGCAGAGCACAGTAGCTCTGAGAGTAGG